CACACAATAACTGTATACAATTTCTCAATATGGTCAGAGGGGCATATTTTCCTTTTTTTCTTGTTTTTTTTTTTTAATTCTGCTTAAAATTTTCCCCTTTTTTGGAGTGGGTGGTAGTGGTAGATTTTCTGCCAGCACTGCTTGTTTTTGGACGTATGAGGAAAGGATGTGTTCAAGCACGGTTATATTATGAATCAATTCCTAATGAATAAAAAGCTCTGCCCAAGGTCAAGCCTACTTAATGACTACAGCCTGGCAAATGGCAGAAGTTAACCAAGATAAAAAAGAATAAGAAAAAAAGAGAACGGACAATTCCCAGTAAATCCTTCTCAGGTTTTCAAAATCCCTCAGCCTTTGTGGTTTTAATCACAGGTGATCTGTTCCATTATCAGCGGTTTGTATTGGGAATTAGTTCCAAGCGATTACCCAACCAAGTAGATCTTGGCTGGATAATGATGGCTGCATGGTGCCTTGTCAAAACAGGGGATACGGACCAGCCTTCGCTGTCATGAACAAGTGTTGCACTTGCCAGAAGCCATAATGGCCCCAGCCTCCCCAATCCTTTCTCCCCAGTCTTTTTTTGTCCTTGATGTTCTGTGCATGTTCATCCACTCGGAATGAAGCCACTTAACTGGATGTGAGGCAATCATAAGCACACAAGTGGGTGATGAAACGACAGGATAGTAAAGCGAAAGAGGGACAAAAAATATCAGGAAATGGTCTGAATGCCCATGTGGGTGTGTGGCTCACAGATGGAATGGGACGCTTGATTTGCAGCTAGATTTGCTTCACTCTTCCCCCCCCCATAAATGGGCTGTCATGTCTTAGCATTCAGCCCACTAGGCTTCCACATCTATTGACTCGTCGCCAGAGGAGAGGCAGAGAGAATGAGCAAAGTGGGATGAAATGGGGGGACCTAGTCACAAAAGTTGTGTCCTTTGGCGGCAATCAGTCGAACAGAATAAATTTTATTAAGGATGCATTTGGTGCATGGCTGTGAGAGAGGCATTCAATTGTAGGCTCGCGGGGTGTGGTCAACAGTACTGTTCATTTCTTTGGTTAGATGGTCAAGTAGTGCCTGCTTGAGTAGACTGAATATCATCCACTGCCCAATGAATCGCAAAAAAATGGCAGGGGCTCCATTTAAAGACCATCATGGGCTTCTGTACTTTTGGAAGGAAATGAAACAACACAAGTGAAAAATGGACAGTGAACTTGGTCACAGTTCTATCTTGTGGAAAATGCACATTGTGATCAGAGTTAATCAGATGTGCAAATTGAGGAACGGGACATTTGGTGAAGCAGGCACATCAGTTTGTTGGTTTTTAAATCTGGCCATCTGTTAGTTTCTCTATTGATCATTGCCCCGATCTAATAGGTTAAATTTTGCAGGTTTTGTTCTGTGAGTAAACCTCTACTAAAAACGGTTATGATCACATAAAACTGTCTTAAATAGCCAACCGAATGTGGGCAAATGTAAATTGAAAATTTTTCATTCAAAATGTTGCATTATGTTCATCCACTGTCATAATGATGATGAAAAAAGGAAGAACAAAGGACGAAAAAAAGAAATCCCAGACTGACAAAAACAGTATCGTCCTAGCTAATGAACTCATTGAAATATATCTCTTTTGGGTGTGTTACTACCAACCGTTGGTCAATTTAAACATAAATCAGTTTATATGGTTTAGTAGTTTAGACAAAAATGCAATGGAAATGGTATTGGTCAGGTTCCTTGAAAACCTTGGAGGAATTTGGAATTATTTAGCTGTTTTTTTCCTTGTCAAGCCTTGTGTTTGCATCTTATATTCATTGCTTTGATGGTGAGTATCTTTGCATATGACCTTTCCATCCAGTGGCTGTCCTTGGTAGAGTCATGCATGCCTGGCACTGTTTGCTCCAATTCAACAATTACGCTTTACTCTGTTCAAATGTTGACATTTGTTCCACATTGGTATTGCACACAGCTGGTCCCTGTGCAAAGTTACGGCAGGAAGAACTGAATTGTTTCCCATTTGCCACATGAGAAATAAGCATTTTCTAGATATTCAAATCGAGAGAAATGGACCACTTGTGCATTAACTGTATAATATGCATGTTTTCTGATAACTTCTTTCCTATTGCACCTGCATATTCCTTCTCAAAACCCATTCATCCTCGTAGGTTGCCAGAGTAGGATACATTGGTAGGTTATAAGTGTATAGTTAAACTCAATAATTTCAGTTTGGTCATGGGGATCCATGCAGTAACATCTTTGAAATGAATTGGGTTAGTTGGCATACATCATGGAATAGGGCCAAACCCTCATTTCTCCAACATTTGTGACCGGTTCCTACAAAATGAGCCTCAAGGCCATGTCTTCTAACCAGTGTTTAGTGTACATTGGAAAGTGCAAACTGGACTTGTGTCAATCTGCCATCCTGATGAACATGTTGGTGAGCAATGGTTGAGGATCCTGTTGATTGGCATTGTGCAAGATTCTTTCACAAGTGACTTCTGTCTCCTCTAGTAAGGTTGGGTCAAAAAAGTTGTGGCTGGGAATTGCCTAACTCCGTCCCAAATTTGACTGTGTGCGACAGTGCCATATTTTGCCCTGCCTCAATGTAGATTTGCAGCGGCTTGGGTTGGCAGTCCTATGACCATTGAAATACTGCCCAGCCTCTCTTTGTATGAAGGTTTTTAGGACTTTATGTTCATGTGTTTTACGTGCCTTCATTAAGGAGGATGTAGCTACCCACTGTAGAGTAACACTGAAAGACAGCCCATTGAGGCACGTACACCTGTGGAACATCTATAGAGCAATGTCAATTGTTTGAGATTCATGACTCAGCACCCGTTCATAGTGACATGTCACAAGTCGTCAGTCAGTTTTTTTCTTGATCAAATTTTTTTTAATTTTGGAAAGATCTTTCATCTTTTACTGGCAACCCCCTTTGTAAGCAACAAGACAATTATTTGGGGGGGGGGCGGAGTATGTTCTTTAGAAATCCTTAATAAACCTGCCGCCTATCAGACTAGCAGATTTGTTGAAGGCCTCTCTCATGGTATTAGAGAGCTGTAAAGATTGCGGTGGTTACGTAATCCTAGTTTGCTCAGTTTGCTTAGTAGCCCCCCTTGCCTCTCCAATTCCTCCTCCATTTCTGTTTGCACAACCGGAGCCCAGTCCTAGTGCCGACAGATTGCTGACCATCAACCCGCCTCAAAAACCCACTTGCCCTTTGCTATGGTTTTGGGGACTGATAAAGAGTGGTATCCATGGCTGTTATGGCATTGGTGTGATATTTGGATATTGAAAAAAAGGGGGCGTTGAGTGGTTTTTATGACAGCAGTGGGGGTTGGTTATTTTGATATTATGTGCCTCACCTCATTAAAATAGATAATGCTAGTTTCACATCCACCTCAAAACGAAGATCGAAGATCCTGTTTGTCCAATATTTGATCTTTAGGAGTTACCAAAGCTCAAATGTTGAGTCTCATTTCTTAAAGCCAAATTATAAGTCATGTACAGTAATTATTTCAGGGTTTTCTAGCATCAATTATTAGCTTTGCTGTATGTGCATTAACCTCAACAAAATTGTAATGCCTTGTTGATTTGTGTAATAATTGTCCTTTTGTTTAAGAGTCACCTCTCTTGAAATAGTTGTCAGTTTGTCTGAAATGACATCCACATCCTTTTATGTTCTTTTAGTCCTAACCCATTCTCAAATGAACCTACATGCAGTTTTCATCCAGCTCTTTCCCGAGACCTAGAATGTTTAGTGTGCAGTCAATTTTGAGGGGTTGTGATGAGACATATTAACTATTTTTTTTTTTGTTCGCGTCTAAAATCTTGATTTGTTTTCAAATGTTTTACCACCAGACTCAGTTGGATGCCACAAGACAGGAGAGAGATGCAGCATTGGCTAAAGCACGCAAGATTCAAGAAGAACTTGATGAGGTCAAAATATACTACAGGTGAGAAAATCTCAGATTTCAAGGTTTCTTTCAATACAAGACAACCTGTTCTCCCATGCTTACACCTCCCCTCATTAGAAAAGTTAACGTCTGGCTGTCTTGCGGGCATTACGTAGGCTAGAACAAATTTGCTTTCTTTTGGCTGGTGCCTGTGATATCACTCCCTTGTTTCCTTGATTTAGCATTTGGTAGCCAAAGTTGCAAGACACAGTTGTTCGGAACAAGCCATTTGGGGATCAGTCTGGTTCCCTGACCTGATGACCCCAAAACACTTGATAAATTCATGTAACTTCTATGTCCTTCCACAGAGCAGGGCTCAGACCCTTGGTTGGGAAACTGTTTGTACATTCAGTTAGTGACAATTGACACCAGCAATTATTCCTGGCATTGATCCTCCCCAACTCAAGCTTTAATATGTGAAGAAAAAAATGGGATCAACAATGGACATCACAGTCATCTAATCTATCCTCTCCACTCAAGCTGTAGCTACAGTCAAAAAATTATATTTATACTATTTTAGAACTAGGAGTTTCTGTTTTAGCACTGGAAGATTTTTTCCATTGATATCAGACTTCATGAGACTTCCTGACCTCCATTTGTCCCAATAATCAGGTAAGGTATCCAGACAGTCCTGAGTGTTTTCAAGAAAATGAAACATTATGCAGAAGCCCACTTTGAAAACTGTTCTTGGCATGCCATTGCAAAGAAAAAGGAATGTTTGAAAGTCTGAAGAGGAATTGTATTTGTTGTTCTCTGTTTTCAAATCTCATTTGCCTCTCCCTTGCTCTACTTTGCCCACCACCAACTAGCCTCCACAAGTCCCTCTCCCAGGAGGTTGAGCTCCGGGACCAGTTCAACAACACCATCAGTGACATGACGGAGCAGGTCAAGGTCAGTGACCAGGTCCTGGCCCAGACCAAGTTGAGCAACAGCCAGCTGGCTGCCCAGGTCAAGCAGCTGCAGAACGAGCGCAGTGCCATGGCCGCCCAGCTGCATCAGGCGCTGCAGGCCCAGCGAGATGCACAGGCCAAACTCAAAGAGTAAGTTCTGTACTGGGTTGGGAGGGGGAATGGAAGGGGTGGTAGGCTTGGAGTAAGTCATAATTGGAGGGGGGCTATTTGCTCGCTTGAGATGGCTCAAGGAATAAGCTGGAAATCCTGAAGGGGGGGGGTTACTACTCTAATACTCACTACCTTGGCAACATACATAGGCCAAACTCAAGGAGTAAGTCTGAAATGGAAGTGGATCTCATCGTCATCACTGTCTCCTGTTTTACTTGATCTCCACAATGAAGAAATGTTCACGAGTAAAAGTTGGATTCAAAAATAAGTAAATATTCTAGGAAAACTTACAGAATCAGGCTGGGATTACTGCATGGGAAAAGAGAAAAACCAATCCTGTTACCAGCCGTGGATGGGATTGATCATGGCTCTGGTGTCTGGATATAAGTTTGAGAGCATGCCGTCCAGATCACAGTTGATGCAAAATCACACCTCGGAATCTCAAATAGACCGGATGTAATCTTGCCAGCCTTCACACAACCAAGATGCCTATTCTTGTTTTTTTCTTCACAGAAAGGAAAGATTGATTGCAGTTCTGAGGAAGAAAGTTGCAGAGGGAACCGTCAAAACTGTGAACTAGATTCCTAAATTCTCAAATTGGATCCATCCTGCATGTATGATTGATCGATCAGCGATTCTCAACACCGACCCCCCCCACCATCCGCTATTGACAGAAAGAAAAGCAAACAGCCTGTCCAAGAGAAATAGCCGTATGAATAGATATGTAATTCAGCCTGCTGTGTCGTTAGTATCTATCTTTTTTACTATCTTTCTTTCCCTCCCCTCTCCCCAAACCCAACATCTGATGATGGCTGTTGCAGCTGTTTGCATTTGCACACTGCGTTGGAGACGCGCTTGGCAGCCTGGCCATTCCATTTGGACAAATATGGATTTCTTGCCTTGGCACAAGGAGGCCCAGGGTGTTTGCCTGTAGACACTGAAGAAAAGTCTCTGTCCACCGACGACAAATGAGAACAAACAAGCCTTGAAGTTTCAGGCTCTCAGAAAGGCAAAAGGAAAAAGGTAAAAAGAAAAAAAAATCTGATAAGGTCCCGATCTGGACTGATATATTGCCAATTCTGATCAGGGAGCCCCCAGCCACAAGATTCCTTACTGTTGGTCAACAAGGCTTGGGTTTACCTCAGTTTCTTTTCTGTTGTGAGCCTAAAGAGGCCTTTGGTGTTTGTCAAGAGGAGCAGATCGGTCGGGGAAGTGTCAGCTATGATACGTTGGAAGAAATCCCCATGTTTGAGTGGAGACAATTGCTTCACTTGATGAATTGTCAATCTCTGGTCACATAACCCTCCAAATCACTCACAGAGGATGACCTGCGTGGTATCACATTATGAGGATGTCATTATTTAGAAAAAATTGTCGTATTTTGTCTGCTTTTGAAACAGTTTACTTGGAATTAATTTTTCTGTTTTGAAGTTTTATTCCATTTAATATTTGACTTTGAGATTTTATTACATGTACGTTATTGAATAAAAGGTTTTATCACATTTTCTTGATCAGTGAAATTAAGAAACGAATACATTCACCATGTATATTTACTTTGATGTCTTGAACAGCTCGGCCTTCTCAAATGCCAAGGAATTTCTGCGGTGGATTTCTGTCTTACTGAATGCAGCTTGTGATATTCTGGTTTGGTTGTAGTACTACATGTATTCGGATTGACCATACCGATGGGTTTGCTGCCATTATAATTTGTCACTCCGTACCTAATACCAGTATAAAGATAATTTTAAATTTATCACCGTTTTTTCCCATTTTAAATAAACATCAACGAGACACATTTTTGTACAAGCCTTAATGTGGAAGTGCCTGTGGGTTTGTGGTGATGTTTTCTGAGCGGTTAATCAAATGGAAATAGTTTTTTTGCACTTCTCTTCATTTCAAATAGATTGTTATCAAGTTTATGTATATATTTAAAGTTGGTTCTTTCTTTTTCGGATAAAAATGTTTGCTTTTATATGCATTGTGTGAAAGATGGAATAAATATTTATTCAATATCAATATTCTAAGTACATATCGACATGAATGTTCTACATTTTCTGTGCCTTACTGGTTTTTTTCCGATTTTCGGGTGTTCATTCTTTGTTTCGTTATTTATTCACAATTGCTTGCAGCGTTGTCCAACGCAGTTCTCGGGTGAAAGTCACCCTTGGTGTGTTGGCGTGTTGGTTAACAGCTCGTATGTTTAAATGTCAGCTTCTTGTGTGGAAAGAAACAGGTTTCAGGAGCGGGGCATGGTATTTTGATGTTCGCCTAGATTGTTCGGCATGTCCGACCTATTCATTTTTGCGGCGGGGCTACATCTGTGTCCTTGTCACACTGGGGCACTTCGAAAGCCCGGCTTCAGTACGCGCGCATTTTATATGCATGAATGTTAATATTTTAGCAATAAAATAAACGTGATTGCACACTCATTAAAGTTGCTCTTTGAGAAGATCGCAGGATTGCTAAACCAAGCCCAAGTTGTTTACTTTTTCTACGAAGTAGTGAAAACCAAGTTTGGGAGCCTCACCGAAAATCTCGAGTCAAAAGCCTGGGCTAGTACATAGAAACTGCAGGTCGTGCAGTGATGTTTATAACCGCTCCCAAGCTTCGCGTAATCCACAGTGACAGTCCATGTAAAAACTGGCCAACCAAGAATGACTTTATGCCGAGCATAGTTCAGTGCTGTACGAGGCACAATGATATTTGGTGTGACAGGAAATGGAGAAAGATGGGACAGGACCTGGCGACTGGGAGGAGAGATATGCCATTGTTCGGCGAGTCAGTCCATTATAGTTTTCTCAATGCGATGGTGCGTTATTTCGCCTGTTCGTTCTGCTCTTGCCTATGAAATCCACATACATGTACAGACGTTATTTGCCCTGCCTTCAAAATAACACACAATATTTACCGACTTTATATACATAACATATTAATTGTGAACTTGTGAAAAATTTGCCACCATAAAAAAAGTGTGGGGGGTGAGGCAAGACATTTTCAAGGCAGTGTTGCTTTCTTGTGAAGAATGCCCCACCATCTCCAGCGGTGGGCGTCCAAATTAAGTTTGCCCGTGCCGCGCGGTTGAAGAGGAAGGACGAGAGAAAAAAATTACGAGGCTCCCCGCATTGTCTAATTTTCGGCGCTACTCCGTTTTGTTTGCCGTGTTGTAATTTTCCAAAAAGCATATTTGATCGAAATATCTCTCCGATGGTGGGGCCCTCTGAATTAAGACGTAACGCGGCCCTGTGTAAATTTGGAATTTCAGTTTGCCGCGGCAAGAAAAATCCATAGCGCCGGGGCAGCGAGGAGGTCGTCCGCGGGTCGTGCCAGGCGGTATTCGGCCCAGTGTGATGGATGCACACGCTTGCTTCACGACTCCGCCCAAGTGTACAGGCATTTCGTGCATTCCGTGTTTCGACATGGCCCTTTGGACACGATCTTTCTGATTACAACGATAATACTTTGGCAGATTAGGTCAAGCTCATGAACAACATTTACAAAAACAATACAAAAATCCACTCGTCCTGCGTTATCTGTACCCTAAATCAATACACTACCAAAGATCACCTCGTTCTCAGTTCCCCGGGAGGTTTACATCCTGATGTTTTCATGTCCATACATTCATACATACATTCATACTACTTTGTGGTCAAAATGCCTTTTTTTAAGTTACCGCACGGCCATTTGTAGACACCCTCTAATAATTATTACACACTCATTACGATGCGTGTAGAGAGGTTTTATTTTGAACTAAACCCGGAGCATCAACTCATTCATTGTTATCAAAACAATCAAATCTATCGCCAGAACCTTGACTCCAAATCGCGCCCTGCAATAATTACTAACCATGCATGGTTTATGCCAACCATGGACCACACTGTTCAGCAAGCCTGCATTCGTCTCTCCAACAGACCTCGTGACATCTGCTCTTCTGGTGAGACAACGGTTGCTGTAATGTGAATCTCTGTACACTAATTGCTTTAGTCTTTTTCACCAGTTTCTGAAGAAGCCTTAATTGTCGAAAATGAAGCGTAAAATAAACACGCTATCGTCTCCCTACATTTCGGTATTCATGGGCGTAGCAATACTAATGGTGTGCCCTTGCAACCGCTGAGAGGGGGGGGGGTGAGGGAAAAAACCTGCGAATTTTCCATCGCCGTCAATTAGTGCAGACGATTCAAAGAGATTAGCCGGGGAAATTCAATTAATCTGGGCAGTCGCAAGCTGTCTACGATTACGGAGAGGAGGGGAGGCAAGTTATTCAGAAGAGAAAAAGGGGGAAGCACCAAAAGCATCTTTTAAGCGAAATCGCCCCGCAAAACGCGAAGGTGCAAGCGAGAGACCAGGATCTAGCTCCGGAGGCACCGGGGGTAAGTGGGGCTTGGAAAAGACGAGCCTTCGCCGGGGCCAGACCTAATCAAACGTCCCGCTGGGACCCGGCTGATGGACCGATCTCCGCCCGTACTAAGAGCCTCCCACGAGGCATGCGGCTCCGATTTCCTCCGGTGAAGTCACTCACGCAGACTGTTGATATGGTGGTAATCGAACTATTCCGCCCATACTTAATACTTCTCTTTGTTTTGGGACTCTTTGCTTTTGTATCAAGTATAACAACCTTTTGGCGGTGGCTCGGCTCAAGTACAACCTACTTAAAGAGGCAACGTGCTCCTTGAAATTCCCTGAAATTAAGATGCATCTTTCGAGAGATATGCCCCCCCCCTATTACACGTATTTTTTTACAAATTCATTATGCATTACACAGGTACAATTTGAATCACACCACAGCGCATATCTAGTGTGTCATTTGAAAGGGGGAACTTTGGGGGCATCCTTTGTCATCTTTGGAGGGACCCTGGATATAGGTTTGATCCAATGGTCTGCAAATTTAAAGCATGCACAGAGCACTATTGTCCGTGTCTCTTTTTGAGCGGGAACTCGGGGGGGGGGTTGTCTCGCAAGCTGGTCCAACTAATGAAAGTGCAGAGAGTTACCATTTTAGCGGTCTTAATTCCAGTCACGATGCAGCGTCTTTAATGTTCAAACGGCTCTTGAAATTATTTGCTCGGAATAACACCAGCAGGGCGGGTAAGCCCCATCGTGATGTCCTCTAAAAAAAATCTTTTAGTTTTAGTAATGCACATTGGCTGGGAATTTAGCTACAGGTTGCTAAAGAGTCACGTGGGGATATAGGATAGGAGGTATTGTGGTTTGTCTTGTACCTTGCCTGTGACGTGATCTTTCCTAAACGGTTTCTTTGCTCAAAGCAAAATACGGACGCGAACCGACTGTTGGCGCTCCGTGCAGCCAACGAGGCCGATGTCGGTTTCATTTACGGTACAAAGTGGGGAAAAACTTGCCGTTATAGAGTTGGAACTTAATTTTGTCTGTCAGTGTTACCGGTAAGTATTGGCGTAAGTTACAGGAATGCTACAGCGAGCATGTACAGTAAAGACAGTGAAATAACCCTCACAATCTAAAGGCTGTAATTAACAAGGACGGAAGTGATCTCAGTATTCACAGTGACATGCCAGTTATCAAAGTATTTACATTAGCAACCGTTTATAATCCCAAGTATTTTGAAGGAATCGCTATAACAGCGGTATATTAATCTCCTATAATTAATTGATATTTATTCATTTTAGAGCGACTTCTCCATTCTCAGTAATTATACTTGGCCTCTTTACCACCTGAAACTCAGAGCAGCCAATGAGAACAACGCTTGTCTACTTTCGGGTTAAGACCTTTTTCACAAACTTGGCGCGAAAAGTGCACTCAAACGTGAAGTGCTTACGAGAAAGTCCTCGGTCAGGCTGGTAACTTTTTTGTAGACTCCAAATGCCTACACCGCTCTATCGCAGTTTCACACATAATTTCATCTCCAATCCTACTTCCTTTTATCCATTTTCGCCTCTCTTTTAATATATTGACCGAGCGCCCCCGCGCTGCAAATGCACTAGGAAAAACAACACTTTTCTCCCCAAGCTCGCTGGTGAGCTGATTTGCCATCAAAGAGACAGCCACTTACATCACTTAGCGCCTGAAATCGGACCAAATCGCTGTCTCTGTATAGATTTCCAAACCGGATTTCCTTTTTATCCTGCGGAAAAATAATACTCAAAAAAATATCATTTTCCACAAGGGCTGTTCAGTCGATGAAAACCAGCCGGTCGCGGGCCTTCGCCTCTCGCCACGTCAACAAAATTGCATTCTTGCGTCGATACCGGGTTTTGGATTTCCCAAGCGTGTGAGAGGAAGAGCGGATAGGAGGGTATAGATAGGAAGAGGGAAACAGAGGGTTTAGGTGACGGAGGAGCGAAAGGCCGCTAATGTCGAAATAACAACGGTTGGAACAAGAAGCCACGGTGCACATGGTTCTCTGTGCTCAGCGTATACTAGGCCGTCCACGGACTAGACCATGTACCGGGGGTAGATCGATA